CGTGTGCTAACGGCCCACCAACAAGCTTCAGTCAGTTAAGGTACGGTTGGTAGCCACACCTCCATTGCAGCGCGCTGGAGCTCCCCGCCCCTTGCCCACACATGGCCGCCATCTGGACCTTGTCTCGTTTTCCAATCTTGGCTTGGGACTTGTAAATCCTCATCATCCGTCATCAAACACAGCGGTCCCTTTGACCTGGGTCTCATCATCGTGGATTTTGGTGGTGGTCTCCCCTTTCGCGTCACTGCCCACACCCCTATCCTTGTTCGTCCGCCGCCATCTCATCGGTGCCCGGTTGCTCACCCAGCAACTGTCGTCGGCGTCACAATTCCAGCCCCCGGTCAGAGTGCGCCGTCTTCTTGGGATCGGGCCCCATCAGCAGGGCCTTGCTGGACCTGACTAACAGCCACAAAGACGTTTCCTGTCCCGAGCTGGGGCAGTATATCTTGCAGGGCCGCGCTGCCTTGACCTTTTGATAACGTTCTCGTGGACACCCCATCCCAGCTAGCTAAGCCCTGGCCGTCTCCAACCCGTTGCCAATCCAGCCGTCTGCAAACGCACGCACGCACTTCTAAGCTAAGGGTGTCTTGCCTCCAGAGTTCATCCTTGTCTGCCCTGCTTTGGCGTACCCGTCTAGATAGGTATGTATGCATTCCATGTCCTGCTGCAAACTCTCTTGCATAGGGATCCCTCGAGGCAAACCACAAGGCCCGCACGAACTGACCAGGAAGTTAGGTGCAACAACGGCTAAGCTGCATCAACTCTCGCAGCCTGTTACATCACCACGATCTCCCAACAAGGCACGGCTGCGCTCCATTCTTGACTAAATCTCGAAAGTCGTTTGCACCGCGACCCGCACTTCTGGAACCACACGTGGAAGGACGTTACCTACAGGCTTGCCCCCCGATTGCTTTTGTACCACCAACAAGGGGAACGACCTGTCCAACCGACACCATCTGCCTGTCCAGTTGGAGCCCAGATAATTAGGTACGTTGAAATCTCAGATTCGCCCACACCAATCTACACCTACCATGATGGAAACTCGTTGGCAAACGGGAGCATGAGGTTGGCAACAATACCTGATGTCGTGTTCGCGTTTCCATTTTTGGCCTGTTCTTGATCAGGTCGAAATTGAGACCCCCACCAGATTGCTACGTATCATTCACTAGCGACCTACCTTCTCGTCAACGAGGGGCTGGTTGTGTGATTTTTACCTTTAGCGATTCTCCTTGAGCAATGTGATTCCGGGGATCAAACGCATTGCATTTCATCACACCTCACGAGGCTGACTTGACCTGCCTCCTTCACTCTAGACATCGAGCGACCAGCGCCCCTGTTTCAGACCTTGATCCGCCACTTTCTAGTCTTATGATTTGGACGAGCCACGCACTCGACCAACACTTGCATAGCATCTGTACAGATACAGATATTCGAAACTCAAGCGGGTAGGTCGCCTCTCACCTCCCCAACCCTTCCCTGCCCGTTCACACGCGAATCCTGAAAGCTGCGCCTTGGAAGAGGAGCTCGGCCGGCGGGAATTTTCTGGAGCATTGTATGCTGCAGCTTGGAGAGGATCTGGAATCACGCCACCTAGCTCTCTCTTACCACGAATATCCTGGTAGAGGAAGCGCCGTGCGTTGATCTGGCTCGTCAAAGCTGCGTCTTCGTTGTCATAGCACGTTGCTAACCGTCTTTGCAGACAAGAACCGTTGGTTGACGTATTCCGTTCCTCATGACCGTCAGCATGTCAGCGAATCGCCAGATCCCCGGCCAATTCAAGCAGGAGCCCGGGGTCAATCCTGTAAGTGTCTCCTTTTCCTTTTCGTCAAGCATGCACCTTTGCACATCCTTTCCGCCTCGCATGGACTCGGATCATGGCTAGTATGCCATTTCTGCCAAACACGATCAGTTTGCTACATCGTAGCTCGTGGGATGTAACGCGTCGCGGCTACAAACGCGTCTGCCAGACCCCAGCATCAGCCTCAAGTGAAGGCCTGACTGGGTTATGTCGCTAGACGGCGCCGGGAATACCAAGGTTTCGAAGTGCGCCCCGCGCAATATGCCTGTCGCAAGCCTGACCGGGTCAGGACTCGAGGGTGGGCTGAGCAGGGTACGTCTTGTTTCACCAATGCCCGGGGCGCCCGCAGGGGACAGGGGAGGGGTGGTCAGTACCAGCTTTGACAAGATGCCCATCCATGGATGGATGCCAGACCCCGAAAATTGGAGAGGCCGGGCAGGCTGAGGCGGGACGTTGCAGTGCATCCGCCGCCTCAGCCTTTGCCATGAGAAACGGCCAGCGGCCTCGCATACACCAGCCACATTGTACAAAGAACTTGCTGGCGGCTGAAGCTTCTCTGAGCTCGACACGCGGCGGACAGGGGCGGTCACAACGGCCTTTCCCCCCCGTTGCACAGCTCGCGGAGGCACGCAGCATACGGGCATTTGAATTTCGGGGCGCGGCGGGCCGCCACCAAGGCGAAGGAAGGTCGGGTCGCATCCACTCAATGGTCTCGAGGCTGGCAGTGGCAGAGGAGATGTGAGTGACCGGCGTCGAGTCGAATTGTCGGCCAATGCCCAGCACACACCAGCAGCTCAGTTGAGCAATACTCATCTCGTCAATGGCACGCCGCGGCTACGCGGAGCAGCACCCGGTGGATGATGCCTGAAGAAGACGCCGAGAAGGACGCTTAACTCAGCTGAGGAACGTCTTTTTTTGGGGGAGGCGATGCAGCACCTACCGTCCGTGGGCAAGCCAGCACAAGATGGTCAAGCTTGGCGGGTGTCGAGTACGCTACGTACCTATCGATGGATGCCAGGCTGCCTACCTTGGGTGGGGAGCCGGCGGCGTTGTTCCCCCAGTGGGGCGCTGGAGCAGGCAAATGGAGGCCACCGGCCCCTCTGATTCAGATTTTAGGGCGTGGCACTTGAGAAAAACGGTTACGAAGCATCAAATGTCGACAGACAGACAGAAGGGACGGGACGTGACGTGACGGAGGGAGTGCCCGACCGACCTCGCCTCAGCCATGCCTTCTGCTGCCGTACCGTACCTTTTCTGGCATCCACGCCCAAAGTACTAGCGGTGACGCACGCGGTGGATCTCGAGTGAGAAAACAGACAGACACACACGCGCAGTTTTTGTCTGGCGAGAGCAGGCTCCCACAGATGGACCCAATGCCCGTAGCCGCGACTTCGGGGGTTCAGTTCATCTGGAAGGGATCGAGTACGTACGAGGATTCTGAGCTGGACAAACGGTACTCTGCAGGTACCTGGAGCCGGACGGGAGTCTGTACAACATTGCTCACCCGGTCAGTGGCCGTTGCGCGTCAGTTGGATTGGAGCCCAAGTGTCTGGTCGGTCCATTTTGGGGGCGGACCAGCGTGAGTGACCGGGGCCCATGGGCCCATGGACGACGACGGTTGAGAACAAGGTCGTGGCCAAAGTGGCAGAGTGGCAGCCATGGACTCCCTTACCCACACCGCCTGTGGCCAAAATAGGAGCACCAGGGAAAAGCCAATCCCGGCGCAATCCTGGTCCGTTGGCTAGCCCCGGCTCTGGTGTGCCCCATTGGGCAGCTGCTCCTGGCCGGGCGCCCTGGTGAGGCGGCCATTGGTCACTTAATCAAACCAAGCCGACCCCTGTCGCGTTTCTTCCATGCGTTGTCCTCCCCGGGACACCTGCTTGACCTGTGGCTCTACGCTACCTACGGTACGCTACGCTACACACTCGACTTGCGGGTACGGAGGGCTAGGGAAGAGGGCGTCTACCACCCGCAACATGGTGCTCGCCCGTCACCCCTCTCGGTCCCCCTTTCCCTCAGCCTGGCCCTCGAAGCTGATTGATGGGAAGGGGATGGGTGGGCAGGGTCGAGGGCTTGACTGGGTGGATGGACGGATGGAGTCTTCTTTTCTGGTTCTCTGGAGGTGGGCGCGAGCTCCCGCAAGCACGCCACCCCACTTCATATCCGCCCGTTCATTCACTCAATCACTCATTCACGCAAAGTCGAAGACGGCTTCTCTACCCACACGCCCTCCCCCCCTTCCCCCTGGTCCTGGCGTGGTTTGGCGTCGGCCTGCGAGTTGCAGGAGGATAGGCCCAGCAGCAGTCGTCAAGTGAAAGGACACCCTGCGGCGGAAGCTTGTCAACGCTTTTCCCTCGACATTTCACCGTTGCCCACCGCTCCGCTCTTCATCCCAAAGTAATTCATGCTCCTGAGATTCCTGCGACAGGGGTCTCGTCGCGGACTCGCGCACTTGCAGTAGCACACTTCACATCATATCGATATTCTCCCAATCCCCCATCCCCACTCAAGGACGACGGACTTTTCCCTCTCTTTGACGTTATATCACTCTTGTTGAACCCTGGCCCACGGCGCGCGCGCACACCTGCCAGACACGCCTCGTACTCCTGGCTCCATCTGCTGGCTTTAGCATCTGGTTCGAGCACCTGGTCTGCCATCCCGTCTATTTGCCCATTGCCCATTCTGGGATATCCACTTCAGATCATACCTTGCTCTCCATCCCCATAATCTTGGTTCAAATACCCGCTCCCCTGCCCCTTCGTCTGCCCCCCCGTCCGGCCCCCTCTAGCACACCCTTCCTCCGATCGATCTTGTCTTTCTTCCGCTCCAAAGGGCCTGCTCTCTTCTCGCTGTCCCTGGCACACGAGCTATAACCTTCGAGACGGGGACCTTCAAGGCACTGTCAACGCCGTTCGCTCTCTTGCCAACCAGTTCTGGCCAAGCGGTATTGCCACCCCTGCTCCCTCTTGCTCTTCCCTCCCACCCCGTGTTTTTTCGCTGTAGTCCGCGAGAACCGGGTTGCTTTATCATCATTACCGCTCCGAGCCTAGCCCGCCTCACCCGTGCGATCCCAGTCCTCACCAGGGGATGTCCACTTAAACCACCTCCCCAGACCCAGGCACTGGCAAGGGGAAAATAAAACACCAACGCGTCCTGAGCTTGATGCTATTTTCTTTTCTTTGGCCGCGCCTCACAGCTTCAACCTTCACGTCTTAGTCCACATGTCTGACTAATGGGTCTTCTCTCTATGCAGCATCACTCGCAGCACCAGCAACAGGGTCAGCCGCCTTCCCAGCACCTGCAGCAGCACTCGAGACCCCCGAGTGTAGTTCACCAGCAGCATCACCCACAGGCTCACCCGCCGCCTCAGCAACATCAGAGCGCGTACTCGTCAACACACTCACTTCCTCAAGCATACCAGACGAGCGCCCAGGCTACCAACAGCCAGGACAACCTCAGCTACTACAACCATCCGAGTCCCTACAGCACACCCGGTGCCACAAGCGGATACACGTCCGCAGGTGCGTCAACGCGAGCCCAGATAGCTTCTTGATGATGAGAAGCGCGTCGCGAACTCCAAACTGACTTTGCGCGATCCAGATACCTCCGACATGATGGCCGCCGCTCAAATGCCGAGACCACCCTACCCCCCTATGTCCTATCATACTCCCCAATCCAACTCTCCCGCCTCAGTCGCATCACCCTCTCAACATGACCAGCACAGGAGCATTTACGGCCAACCGCCGTCACAGCATCTGCAACAGTCGATGTACTACCAGCCGCAGAACCAATACCAGCCCATGCCTCCTCAAGCGACCGCCTCTCCTTACGCGCAACACGCGCCCCACCCTCAGCAGTCAATGACTTCGCAACCCGCCATGATGATGTCCCAAACTGCTCCCCAAAACCAGATGACCCAGCATGCGCAACACGCACATGCGGGCATGACTGGGAGCCCCCGGCCAAAGATCGAACCTCAGGTGCCCCTGCAGCTCCAGAAGCCTCAGTCGTCGCCTATGCCTCAGTCTCACCACCCTCAAAACGGCGGCCAGCTCCAGAGTCCTGGAAACTCAACTCCTGGAGTCAACCCCAGCGCGGCGCCCGGGCCGATCCCCGCGACAACCCCTCTTGTGGTCCGACAGGACGGTAACGGTGTTCAATGGATCGCTTTCGAGTACTCGAGGGACAGGGTCAAGATGGAGTACACGATCCGCTGCGATGTCGAGTCAGTCAACATTGACGAGCTGTCGCCCGAGTTCAAGCAGGAGAACTGCGTCTATCCTCGAGCATGCTGCCCCAAGGAGCAGTACCGCGGAAACCGCCTGCTGTATGAGACTGACTGCAACCGCGTCGGCTGGGCGCTGGCCGAGCTCAACATTCCTCTCCGAGGAAAGCGAGGACTTATTCAGCGAGCGGTTGATAGCTGGCGCAACAGCAACCAAGATCCCCGACTCCGAAGCCGACGAGTGCGACGTATGGCCAAGATGAACCAGCGAAAGCAAGTCCAGGCCTCTCCGCATCCCGGTGCGGCTCACATGCCCGGCCCCAGCGGACCTTCAGGGATGCCCGGCGGCCCAGGACCCATGGGACCTGGCGGGGCCATGGGCAAGCCTGGCCTCGGTAGCATGGGTCAACCGATGCACCACCACCAAGCAGGAACTCACCCCGACGGCACAGCTCAGGGTGGAGGGGATGAAGTCGGTATGTTCCACCAGATGTGAATGATTTAAAGAAACCTCACGTCTGCATTTTGCAGGGCAAGGCATTGCCGTGTTTTGTGCGCCCCTTCTTTTGCACTGATCCCCTTGCTGTCCCTCACCGCACAAGAAATGCTTTGTTCGACCAATGTTGTGTTGATTAATTGATACCAAAACCCCTTTTTACTCTTTCCTTGTTACTGTCTTACAAAAACATATTCCCTTTTTACTGCTGCAACGGCTATACCTGTGTCTTTGCTCTATTTTCTATCTGCTACTGCTACTGCTTTGAACGTCTGGGGACTGGGTCTGTCATCTCCTTTCTTGTCTTTTTGCCTGTCTGTCTGCCTGTCACAATGAATAGCACAGGCGGTCTGCCACTTCCTGCACCGTCATCTATACAGCATCCAAGCCGCAGCGGCTCCCGAGGGGTTATGAGGAACTCTTTGTTTTGTTGATTGGCACAGTTCTGTACATTACCATAAAGTCGCGCGCACACAGTCGCTGTTGTTGCTGCTGCTGTTAGTTGTTTGCTTTGCTGGGTTCCCGCGACTCTTAGACGAGTTCAATCTGCCTTTTGGCTTTAAATGTTGCATCATCTGCCATTGGCATTTGGATCTGGTCCTCTGAGACTGATCTGACACAACCCAGTCTTGTTCTGTCTTGCATTTCAAGCGCTAAACACAAACACAAGCACATAGTCGAGTTTTGCTTTGATTTGGTCATCTCATCTCATCTCATCTCACATCACATCATAATCACTCAGACAGTAAAACAGGAGGGAGAGATTGGCTAACTCGGGCTCTTTATAGGCGATGGTCACTCCTACGAACACCATCACCACCAGGCTCCGACGGGTCAAAACCCTCCCAACAACGACGACGTGAGACCGGCACACGTTTTTACTGGATATAACAACCAGCCATATCCCACTAGCGCGCCAATGTCTCACATGGCTCCCCACGCTGGCGGTGCTGTCCCGGCTAAGCGCCACAGCCGTGGTAACGCTGATGAGCCTGACGATCTCTTCCCGGACATCCCTGAGGCCAAGAAGCGCAAGTTTATTCTTGTCGAAGATAATGTCCGCGGATCTCGCCTCCGTGTCCGGGTGACCCTTGAGGGTGTTGACACCAACGAGATCCCTGACAGCTTCCGCAAGGGAGCCAGCGTCTTTCCCCGTAGCTATTTCCCTCGAGAGATGCAGAGCCCCCCTCCAAGCGCGACTGGCTCGCGCTTCTTTGGCGATGATCAAGACGACGACGGTATCGAGGAGACTGAGGGTCGCGAAGCCAGTCGCCGTGGAGCTAACCGAACTGGCAAGGAGATGGTCAAGGTTCCCATGGGCGAGTCCCAAGGCGAGATTGCCATCCCCCGAATGAGGAAGTCTATCCGAGGCAAGGAGGTTCGGCTCAACGACCTTGGGTACCGAATGGCATGGCTCCAGAGCCGAGTCTTTGCTGGTCGGACCGTCTTTCTGCAGCGAGCCTGTAAGTTTCGATCAGCCTAACCCAAGTTGACTGTTCGAATGTGATAACTGACAGAGTCTAGTGGACTGCTACCGTAACAAAACGCGAGCCGCCATTGAGAGCATCATGCAGGACGTCAAGACGGTTGCGCCTCACTATGAGACGCGCGCTGGAAAGCGACGCTGGAATGAGCGCATGCGACGTGGAGAGAAGAAGGACGACGAGTAGAGATGGATGATGCTGTGTTGTCCTGTCGTGTCCTGTCTTGTTGTCTTATCCTGTTTTACCCATACCCTCCCTACTACCCTCCTTTCAGACCTGACCATGAGAATTGGCCTCGTTCTTGTTCATCCCTGGCATTGTCATTAGAGATTGCTTGTCTGCCTGTTCTTGCTTCACGATACCATTCTGCGACGACATCGATGGTGATGTCCTCCCATTTATTTATTACCCCAAACTTTTTTTCTGCTTGTACGGCTCCGGATCTACACCAAGTTCTTGCATTGAAACTCTTGTTGCGGTTTCCAACTACATGTCATGCCTCACACTCGGCTCCCCTCCCGCGCTGGCCTTCCATGGTTGTCGCTTCTGGAGTTTTCAGTTCTCATTTTTCAAGTCGAGTGGCTCCTGTATATTAAATTGCAATTCGTGAGGGTGTATAGATGCAGGGCGGATGACGATACTTGGCCGACGACGTTGACGTCGAAGAGGGGATTCATGTTGTTTGCTGACCCTTGTTTTGGTTCTGAGAATATCAGAATCCAGGGTCTCTCGGATTGATGATGGGTTTAATCACATACGGTATCGGTTGGAAGGGTTTACATATGGAGGTGACGATGGTTTTGACATTTGCTTTGAGACCACCGTGTGGTTATGCGTTCCTTGCAAATAGTGTTTGGTCATAGTTGGTAGACAGTATTGAATTTCTCTGGTCATCTACTTTTCCTATATGTGATGTGCCTTGGGTCTGATGAACAAGACCGCTTGAATGCGATGGCAGTAAAGAGTGAGATAAGAGGGAGAGCATGTGAGAAAATGAAGAAGGTATGATGAGTGAATGAGTTTATAGAAGAGAAAGATGGTTTGTAAAGATACAAAGAATAAAAAGACATTACAAGACGATATAACCAACCAACTAGGACAATTCTAAAGTCATGTCGTCCATCGTCCATCTCCAAACTACCAATGCTCCCAGTAGGATCCACGGATCCAAGCGCCTTGGTCTATGCAGTGGCTAGCTGCATGCACTTTGCCTGAGCCTTGCCATGCCTGACCTCCCCCGCCTCGTTGTCCCCATACCAGCTTGCATCCTGGTCAAATCTCTCTGCTTTACTCGTGATAGGTTCGTCGAGTCTCGATCGTGTCATACGATAGCTCAGTACCCAAGTTTTCCGCAATATCGGCATCCTCGCGGGCACGCAGGAGAGTGGCATTTGGACGATACCCCATGCTCGTGATGAGATCAAAAGCAGCGCGGGCGACGGTTGGCGTTTTGATGAGTTCCTGGGTCAAGTGAGTCCGGATAACTCGAATGTCTTGATTGTTAGCTTCTTGGTGGCCGACTTGGACTGGCTACTTGATTTGAGAGAAGGGGCTTACTGTGTCGAAAGTTGCAAATGTGAGCCTCGATAGCTGCTGTCTTCTTAGGAGAGTCGCAGTAAAGGGCATGGAGACAACTCCAGATGTACTGAGCGAGAGGGATGGGGCCTGACGACTGCACATCCCCATGAGCAGGAGGAAATAGACCAACAATGCTCTTAAATGTTCTCATTTCTCCTTGGCTCAACCTCCCCCACGAGGGCTCGGTGGGATGCAGACACGAAGTCTGCATGTGTGGAATATGCTCCAAGTTGAGCAATGCTTCAGTCAAATTGACCATGGCAAAATGATGAGCCGCGGCTGAGATGATTTGATCTAGCATAGCGTTGATAGACTCGGGCATTGAACCAGAGCCGGACTGGAAGACGTGGTTCGTGTCACCCCCTGGGAGAAGTGAAGGGTATAGGAGGGTGAGAAGCAAAGCTTGAGTCCTCTTATACTGAGTAGTATCGGCGACGCGACCATCTGCGCTCCCAGTGTCGGTCTTGGCATGAGGGAGAAGTTGCCAGTTGGGCCAGAAACGATCAAGAGGCTCACCCAGGCGAACACCACTGAGTCGAGACCAGTCGTCAAGACGACTGTAAAAGTTAAAGACACAGCGGGGAGTCGCTATCGACAGGAAGGCGCGGCAGGACTTGGCGACTGCGTTGAAGAGGTCTCTGCCCTGGCTGGTGTTGACCAAGGTTGAGAGGTCTTGACCGTTACGGTTTTGGACTAGCTTTGAGTTGGGTCCAAGAAGATCTTGAGAGGCTTGGACTTGATACAGGGAAGCCACATTGCGAGCGATCATCCTGAGCATCTGATCTGTAGGTGTCGAGTTTCTGGCTGGCTGGACGCCCAGTGATTGGTTGACAACCCACCCGGTGCAGAGCATGCTCGGGGCAATCAGGGTTGCCTTGACTTTGCTATCGATGCAACTCTGGATCTCACTGACAGTGAGGAGATGCAGCTTCGTGCTGGGTGTCAAGGGATAGGGAAGCTCGCGGATCATGTCTTGGTGAAGAGAGGTCGGTCCACAGATAATGATGACGAGGGACGAGGGGTAGCCTGCTTGGCAGTAGTTGCTTGCCTTTAGAGACATGGCTGAGATGGCATCGAGAAACGCATCAGCGAGCTCCGATGGATTCTCGTGGACAGTGATATTGTCACATATCCCACCCACATCCTTGTTCCCGTACCGGAGGTTGACATGGCTTCGAGGATTGGATGCACTCAGACGCACCCAATCCTCAGGCGGCACAAGCAAAGACAGGAGATGAGATATGGCGTAATACCCTGCGACGAAGCGTTTATGGAACGGATCGTCGAGGTGCTGGTACGGAACGGTGAGTATCTGGGCGATGCAAGAGTGTGGATGGATGTCGGGGATGGAGGTGGTGGTAAAGGTCGAGCTGGGGTAGTTGGACGCAGCCATATTTGGCTGAAGTTTGCGGCGAGAACCCTGTGAAGCTTTCTACGGCTCTTGATGGTTGATGAAGGGGATGCAGATCCAGTTTGCTAGTTGGATGGCGATGGGTTGGGGGTTGTAGAGTCGAGGTTGAGTTGGATAAACATGGTGAGGAGTGAAGCTTCATATTTGGCATATTAATTCATGTTGGGAAAGTCAAGCCGCATCGTGCACTGGCTGTCAGGAAATGTGTATCAGGACATGTCGAATGCAAGACGTCTACGCAGTTGTGTTTGTCCATTCTGTGAATGACATAAGGAGTGACTGAATGTCTTTTGTCTGTTCCTTTTAACGCGGCACCTATAATAACTAAGGAGTGGGGATCATGTGTCTTTAAGACTAAGAAGAATATCATTCACATCAGTTTTAAAAAGAAAATGATTTAAAGGCTCGTTTGAAGTGTCATGTGGTTGATATGACTGTCTCTGTCAACCCTTTGCTTGAGGTAGCGTGGCCATCTCACAAACAAACAACGATATTTCAACATTGTGGAAGCAAAACAGAACTAAAGAGTTTCTTTTAAATGCCAATAGTAGATATTAATACACGTGGGAAACAAAGGCTGACCAACAACTAACTACCTACGTACACAATGATGAATCTGCAGTCGTTTACACGCAAGTTGAGATTAGCACAGCGGGGACAAGATAGATAAGAAGAAATACGCGTTTCTAAATCCTTGCTCGGCGTATAAGAATACAAAGTCTGGGCGTATTTCGCTTCGTAATTCGACCGCGCGATCGAACGTGTCGGCGTATGCAAATCTCGGCAACCGTATAGTAATACTCAGGGATCGTGATAGTGTCATTCGCCCAAAACTAGATAGACAGAGAGACGATTTGGCCATCTACAGCTTCAAAGAATTCAGGAACGGGAACAAGCTTTTTCGCCCAGATACGAAGCAGCCTGTCAAGACTCTCAAGTCCCCGCGTAAACCCTGCAGCTACAGCGCCAAGTGGAATCCAATCCATGGGCATGGGCAAGGGTTTCCATTTCCCCATACCAAGAGGAGCCAAGCCAAGGGTCTCTAGAGACCCCTCGGAGATTCAATCTGCGCCTCGTTCCACTACCTTTTCAGCTGGGGGCCCAAGCCACACACACACACTCAAGCATGTCACTTGTCCGACGGGGTTGGGAATGGGGGAAGCAAGCTTACATAGCAACTGGATAACTTTAGATCACAGCTCAAATACGAGTGGACGACAAAGTGTGGCTCAACTCCCTTAGACCCTGTTTCTGGCAAGTGGGCTATTGACGCAACCCAGACCCCAAGGCAGCCCGCGAGGCGCCGTCTCTTGTCGTCGGGCGAACTTTTTGGCCTAGCCATTGGCCTCTCCTCTTTACCTGATCACCAAAGCTGTGAGTGAGACCGCTTCTTTCTTCCTTTTCCCGATGCTTTCAGTTCTGACCTCGTTCAAAGAGAAAGAATAGTGGCCATGTCGCGGCAGCAGCAGCAGAGCCCATACCACGCGGGCAACTATCCTCCGCCCCTATTCGCCGCCGAACTCGACAGCAGCGCCCCCTCCTCCCGTTTCGCCTCAGCCCAAGGTCCCGATGGAGCGCCCGTCTTCGAGATGCCCGGCGAACCGGTGCCCTCCAACCAACAAGGCGAACAGAAGAGACCTTCGAGGACACAGAGCCCCGCGCAGTCTGGCCAGGCCAACCCGTGGCCCTTCTATCTAGACGGTCAGGTCCCGTCAAACCCTGCGCAGGAGGATGATAAAGACAAGCCGTACAAGGACCCTTCTGCGGCGCCTCAGCCCGTCATGGCCAATCCTTGGGCATATTTTGGCCCCGAGGCTGCGGAGGACACTCCCGCTCCTCTCGCGATAGCTTCGGGGAGACGACCGGTCAACCAGAACCCGTCACCGCCGCCTCAGAGTGAGGAGGATCGCCGCCCCTCAGGACCGGTATATAAACCCTACCCTGGCAATGGCGAATCCATCCCCCAGGTTCCCCATGGTACCAGGCCGCCAGCCTCTACGAGCCCGAGTCCAAGTGACGGCGACACCTCTTACTATCCTGCGCCATTGAAACTGGGAGGTCGCCCCGCCAAGACGACACCGCCAACTGCGTTCAAGCCATATAGCCCTCCTCCGACTCATGATGTGCATGATGTCCAAGATGCGCAAGTTAGGCCTTTGGCCGGCATCGGGAGGACTGATTCGCAGTCCACAACGACTTCAATGCCATATCGGCCATATAGACCGCATTCGCCTCAGACAGAGACAACAGCGGCGCCAGCTGCGAATATCCCGCCCACAACCAGTCCTCCTCCCCCAGCTGGGACTCCAGCTTCTTTAACTATCGGTACTCCGCCCGCTGGTGCTCAAGCAGTCGCTCCAGCTCCTCCTGTTACTTCTACGCCAACTCCTCCAGTTACTGCGTCGACTGTTGCGCCAGCTCCTTTAGTTCCAACACCTCCAGCGACTACTCCGGCTCCCACGGCTGCTGTCCCAGCCCGGACGCCTTCAGCAGCTCCTCAGCAACAACCAGCAGCTGCTTCACCTCATCACTTTCACTCTCCAGCACCTACAAACCCACCTGCGAACCGTCCAGGAACAGATGCGAATGCATCTCCTAAACCCACAACGACTGCCCCTGCCTCTGGGCAGCAGCCGCAGCCACCGCAATATCAACAACCACAACCACAGCAGCATCCACAGCATCACCATCCCCAGCCGCAGCAGAATGGCATCGCAGGCGCTGCTCCAGCACAGGGAACCCCTTCGATGGCATCTCCTTATCTGCCATCTCCCATGTCTCCTTCAGCTCAGTCCATCTCAGTGGCTGCTCCTTCACCAGCAACACCATCACTTAACGCGGGAGTGCCGTTCGCTCAACCACAGTATGCCGCCGCTGTCCCAACCCCGAACTATGCTCCGGGTCCTACTCCGGGTCCTGCGCCGGGCCACGCGCCGGGCCCATCCCTGACTCATCCCCCTGTTTCGGCAGCAGGTCCTCCGCAGACACAGCAAGCGCCGGCGCCAATGACCTCACCTCCCCCGGCGATGCCAGTACTCAACGCCGGAGTACCGTTCACTCAACCGACATATGCTAGCCCTATCCCTACCCACAACTACGGATCGGGCCCGTCACCCACACCTCCAGTGACCTCACCCATAGGTCCTCCACAATCACACACAGGCCCGCCGATGGTAGCTCCCACTCCAGCCCATGGCCCAGCCCAACCTATGCCGGGCTACCCCAATTACAACTACAACGTCCCACAACCCAGTTATGCGCCGGCTCATACTCCCCCAACAGCAACTCCAGCGCCAGGAGCCCCAAGCCAGCCTCCTCAACAACATGCTCCTTATCAGCAACCAGCTCAGACTGGCCCTGGACCTCAGCAACCCCCTCTCCAGCACTCGACCACAGAGCCCTATATGGCACAGGGGAACATTCCCCAGTCACCTCCACCTCCATATGCGCAGACCATCCCTCCTCGGCCTGGATCGCAACCTCCAACAGCAGGCCATCCTTCACAATATCAGCAACCTCCTCCTGGTCCCGGTCCTGCTGGACCTTATCCCCCTCAGCCTCAATATCCTACTCAACCGACATATACTCACGGTGTCCCTCCGCCCATTCAGGGACAACCATCATTTGGGCTGCAACCCCCTCCTCTCCCTCCTCGACCAGCGTCAGCCCAGGGAGGGATGCCTACCCATGGCTTCGGATCCGGACCGGCTGGTTACAACCCGGCCAATTTTCCTGCTCCTCCCCAGACTTACTTCTCTCCTCCACCGGCACTGCCGCCACGACCTGGCGCTGGCGGCGTTGGAAAGATCTTTGGCAGCAGCTCGGCGGATAAGTGGCTAAGGAAGACTGGACAAGTTCTCGAAAGCACCCTAGCGCCCATTCTGCAAGGACAGTCGGGGCAATATAGACCTGGGCAACAACAGGGGCAGCCAGTGCCGCAGGGGCAACAAGGTCCACGGCCATATGCCTCCCATATGCCGCACTTCCATGCTCCGCATCTGGCACCTCAATTTCGAGGCGCTCCGGACTCTGACTCTCCGACGCCCGGGCCCGGCGCCCCCGGATCACACTAGACTGCGGCTAGAACGGGGTTCATAGATGGCGTCGTTCGATTTGGATATTACTAGTAGTTGACCATGTTTCAGGTCTTTGTTGGAGTTTATCTAGTGTGCGTGCCGTTTGGATTTGGGAGGATCTTGTTGGATATATAGAGCTAGCCAGCGAGCATATCAACGCCTTGGAGCGCGTTCTCCGTCTAGATATTATCAGATATTTAATGAAAATGCTTATTTGCGTTCTAATGCTTCATCGTATTCTAATGCTGAACTCTAACTGCTTTTGCAGTCTGTTCGTTTAAGTTGGGCCTGTGTTGTAGTCTTGGCCTGGATCGTACATATGAATCGATTGACTCAAGCACAGTCAAAACGAGCATTTGACAAGCCCCATGACATCACATCAAACGACTGAGATTTGGTTGTGGAACATTTTGGCCGGGCTGCTGATGCCAAGACAAGGAGGTTCGGATGGTAGGAATTGATCAAGGTTGCCCAGAGAGACAATTCATGATGGATTGACATCATCATCATGAGTGATGACAGGCATTACATCATGAGACCAGGGGTGAAGACCTCCATTCCAGGCGTTGATGGGTGTGCTCACTCGGTACGGTTCTTTAACATGATGGGAATGAAATCCACGGTCTCCTAGGGCTACCCGTGATTTGACCTCTGAATGAACCCAGCTCAACGGTATTCGCCCACTTGACGATGGGGCCTTGGTCGAGAATACTCCGACCCGAGACCCGCTGGGGTCTAGAACCGGTTGGCCAGTGGAGGCATGGAACATGGAAGCGACATTGAATTGAGGTCTCTTCACCGCCTACCAAGATGGGCACCCTGGCCCTGGTCCCCGCTGGGATGCGGAGATGGAGATGGGGATGGAGATGGACAGAGCCGGTTTGGAGTTCTGCTACGTACCGGATCTTGGGGGTCATGCGTGAAGCTTCAAAGCTTGCCTCCTGACTGCCTGAAATGGACAGCCTGGGGGTTGAAACGGCGGTGCATCTGGACAACTTGGTTCCGCTTTGACAGACTGAGCTGAGGGATGGTCTGGACTATTTGTTGTCCATGATGCACGAGCACGGAGTGCAGATGAGATGAGGCCAAATTAATGTTATATCACACGTACATATTAATAAATCAAAACTCCATCCATCCATCATCCATGCCTCGGATGACAGGTTACTTACCTGGACTGGGGTTACGCTGGCGGAGGAGCTTTGCTGTCCAAAAGCACCGAGTAGCGAGATGGTGATTGCCGCAAGGGGGAGGAGGGGAGCTCTATTTTCAGCTCATCAGCAGGAAATGCACTGCAAGCCATCCGAGACAGCGCACCATGCTGCATTTTCATTCCCTGGCGCACCATTCGCTGGATGGGCCGCCAGCTTGCTGGGATCTGTGCTGCTGTCACCCGTGTGGGAGAAGCATCTCGGCGGCGGGCTGAGACACGTTACACAGCCCAAGTTGGGTACCTCCCTGTTGGTGATGAGACTCGTACAGCTCCAGCTCCCAGCTTCCGTGCTGCGGCCGACCGAGCTTTGGGAAATCACATTTCATCAATGTGCAGTCCATCCGATGCAGACTAGACTTACCTTGGCTCTTTACGTGGTGCTACGGCATCAAGTCGTCGTGTCTTGTCTCTGTCTAGGCGGCACAAGGCATACGGCACGGCGCTACGGCTCTTCCTCGTGACCTTTCTGATGGATGCACGGAAACCTTGGAAGGGGGATTGAGCTTACTTCTGGCGCTGCCTGAACACACGCACACGCACGCCTTTTTTGCTAACTCACACGAAAAAGGAAACATGCTGATGATGATGGGACGTCGGTGAGGATTGGGGTCGGCTCCGAGGAGACCCCGGGCGGAACAGGCCGCTGGTTGATCTGTTGAACTAGCTTGAGGAATAGACGGTCATGCCGTAGAGTAAAAGAAGGGAGAGCATTGCGGAGGATATGTATCAGGACGGATCCGAACATGCTAATGCTGGGAGAAGGGGGCAAGATCCTCCATCACGAGACGAGGCCATTCATGCATCGTAGAAGCCCATCCCATCCCATGCCTTGCTTGCTTCCTTGGACCATGTTGTCTCTTACCGCCCAGCTCGCTTGCACCCCTCACCGGGAGGCTTAGCCGGCGCTGTACAATTCGTTCGTTTTTTGTAATCAGGCTTCCAAGGCAGTTGGAATAAGCAAACGACAGAGTACATAGTACGCGGAGCAAGAGGATTGGGCCACAGCCGATAGCTACCAGCAAACTGGATCTCGAGATTTGATGCCGCGGGCCCGCGCTGCGCCCTTGGCCGCGGCATGGCAGTAGCATCCATGACGGTGGTAATTTGACGGGACGACAAGCTACAAATCACATGGCCTGACTATCCCAAGGGCGTAGCAAGTCGTCAAGTTACGTAGTACATGAGATTCTGCACAACCTAAAACCAGGCTCCGTGGCTGCCGGTGGGAGCGAAGTTGGACGGCCGAGGATGGATGCTCATGTGTGCTCTGGACCACCGGAGCCCAGTGCTCGAACAAACGGGTTCAAGAGCGAGGCCCTATCCTATTGTCGGGAGGTCCGTGGACGAGGGGCAATTGTTCGCAATGTCAGTGAAGGGGTCCCGTCGATCCATCCGCGCCGACATCCATCCCACCCAAGGATCGTCAGTGGCTCCCCTCCTTCAAGGGCGAACCGTACGCGCTCAGTTGCTGTGCGGCGGTCTGGGTCGCCCGTCCGTCGGCTACCGACCCGGGTCCAGGGCAACCCCGTTCGTTGGACCTAGGACGACGATTGATGATTGATTGCCCCGAGCCGATTCCATCATGCCTGCCCGCTGCTCTGGGCTGGATCGGGGGACATTGGCTGGATTGAGGGTGATTCGGGAAGCGACATGTATGTCGCTGACGGACGAGCTACGTGGGCATCCATTTGCATGGCATGGCATCGTACAATATGTAGGTACGCATACATACATTGGCTGAGGACGCAAACGGCAGGGCGCAAACAGCTCACAGCGGTCGAATTCATCATGAAACACAAATTCAATCGCCTGTTGACATTCATGCACCTATTCCCACCTGCCGCAAGGAGGCTTCAAACTTGGGCTCCAGTTCTTTTTTAAATTCGGTCTCGCGCTTGGCTTGTGCCCATTGTTGCCTCATCTCCACTTTGGGCCGCATTCAGATCCGTCTGGGCATAGAAACCTGGGCAGAAGGAAAAAAAACCTAGGTCACCCCAGCCGCCCTTGAGTTTGACGGTGACCACTAAAGGGGCATTCTGATGTTGGGGGGCTTCGCGCCTACTGGACAAGCGCCCAGCGCGGACCCCCGTGAATCAGCTTCCAGGCTCCTCTCGAGACGCCCTAGGAGAACATCCATGGTGGACTGGAAGTCCAGGGCAAATGCACTGACCCGACAGTGAGTGACAGATGCTAGGTCGCCAAGGCCGACCTCACCCCCCAACCCGAGCGAGCCAGCCCAGCCTAGCCCAGCCTGGGCCAAGCATTGAATGGGCCTCAGGTGCTAGGGCGCCCGCGCGCCTTTTTTTCTTTCTTCTCCTGCTGTTCCCTGGCGCCGGGCACCTCAGCCTCTAGTTTCCGCTTCAAACAGAATTCCACTGGCCCCTTGAGTCCTAGGTCTTGGCCTTCCAATCCTTTGTGGTGCCGCTTCTTCGCACACGCGCACAGGCACCTCCCTCAGTAAATCAGTCACCTCAGTCAGTCGGGTTCGGGCTGGCTCTCTCCACTTTTCGCTCGCTCGCTCACTTCCTTCCCGCCCCCCTTCACTTGACTTCCCTTTCCCTTTTTCCCGCCCTCTGGCTTCCATTTTCTCTCCCCTTCCCTTCTTCCACCCCACGACGCCCTTCCGCCATCCTCCTTCCACCACCTACACCCACCTCCATCCGACGACGACGTCTACGCATTTTCGTCAGTCAAACCTCTTTTTCTTGACAGTAATTTGAGATTTTCTCTCTCTTTTCTGTTCACTCCAGCATTTTCCACGCATCGACTTTGCTGGTCAGCCATCCACCGAATTTTCCCACCTTCTCCGACGACTCTCGAGCCCCGGCTAGCCAACGCTCTCGCAGCACTCTAGAACTCTGAACGCGTTTGACCGCCCCCGGCATTCAACGCTCTGCTTGCAGGTACGTCAACGACATTTCGTTTTGATATTTGTTCTTCCCCTCTGCCTCTCGGCGTTTTTTTTGTTGAAGATTTTCTCAACAACCCAACCTACGACTCATGTCAACGCCTGTTTTACCACCTTGACCACCTGCTCGCCAATTTGGCCGCCTGTCTGACGACTCGCTCTTACGTCGAGTTACGTCGGGTTTGCCTTGTGGCGTTGCCCACCGCCCTTGTCAAGCCTGATTTACCCCCGACCCAGTTTTGCCCCTCCCTGCAAGCGTCGCCGCCATTTCCCCTTCCTATTCATTTCAGCCATCGTCCGCTTTTACTTTTTCTCTTCCGAATTCGACCCGGGCTGACTTTAAATCATAGCCACCGTAGGCTTGCAGATTAAGAAAAACTCTTCTCCTTACCATCTCTTCTGCTTGCTTCCATTCCCACGGGAACGGAGCACTCTCACAGACCAACATGACGACCATGGTACGCTCGCCACCGACAGATTCCCGACCTCTTCCAAATCGAGACAAGCTATGGATCGATGGCAACGCGAGTTCGGCAGCACGTGGAGCCATCTGCAGGTCTTGGATGAGGCCACCATTTTGCTTGTCGTGATCTAGCTTGTCTCGGTTGGAGGAAGTTGCTTGATGGAAATAGTTTTCTAACCTTGGCCCAGGATCTTCGTGTCGGTAACAAGTACCGCATCGGTCGAAAGATCGGTTCCGGTTCTTTCGGTGACATTTACCTGGGCACTAACATTATCTCCGGCGAGGAGATTGCTATCAAGCTCGAGTCCGTCAAGGCCAAGCACCCTCAGCTCGAGTACGAGGCCCGCGTCTACAAGTCTCTGGCTGGTGGTGTCGGCATTCCCTTTGTTCGCTGGTTCGGAACTGAGTGCGACTACAATGCCATGGTCCTCGACCTCCTCGGCCCCAGCTTGGAGGATCTCTTCAACTTCTGCAACCGAAAGTTCTCCCTCAAGACCGTTCTCCTTCTTGCCGACCAGCTCATCTCCCGAATCGAGTACATTCACGCCAAGTCCTTCATTCACCGAGATATCAAGCCCGACAACTTCCTCATGGGCATTGGCAAGCGTGGCAACCAGGTCAACGTTATCGACTTCGGTCTGGCCAAGAAGTACCGGGACCCCAAGACTCACTTCCACATTCCTTACAGAGAGAACAAGAACCTGACTGGTACTGCCCGTTATGCCTCTATCAACACTCACCTGGGTGTTGAGCAGTCCCGACGTGATGACATGGAGTCTCTTGGCTATGTCATGCTCTACTTCTGCCGCGGCTCCCTCCCCTGGCAAGGCCTTAAGGCTGCTACCAAGAAGCAGAAGTACGACCGCATCATGGAGAAGAAGATGACCACTCCCACCGAGGTCCTTTGCCGCGGCTTCCCCAACGAGTTCGCCATCTACCTCAACTACACTCGATCTCTCCGCTTCGATGACAAGCCCGACTACAGCTACCTCCGCAAGATCTTCCGTGATCTCTTTGTCCGTGAGGGATTCCAGTATGACTACGTCTTCGACTGGACCGTCTACAAGTACCAGAAGAATGCCCAGGCTATTGCCCAGGCTGCTGGTCAGGCCAACCCCGACGACGAGGAGAAGGCCCGCGCCAGCCGCACCAACGCGGCTACTGCTGGCCAGTCGGCTGCCAAGCCCAACGCCATCCCCAGCACTCGCCGCAAGATGCTCGAGCGGGGCGCTGGCGCTGGCGGCGTCGATACTCCCGACACCAACCGTGCCATTGGTGGAAGCGACAGGATGTGAGTGACAAGCTAAGCCCATCTCAGTTTCAAGTTCCTTGTAAGGAATCATTTTCCTTCGTGCGTGTAGTGTGTTTTTGTACCGCTGGCCGAAGGGAGATTTGCTGACAACTATGGCTGACTCAGTGGACGATAAACAGGCTTCGCTCAGCTTCGAAGGGAGCGGGATATGCCTCGGGCAGCTATCGACCGAAATGATTGCTAACCCCGACTACTCCTCTCTTTTGGGATCCTCTCTTATGGCGACCGACACTGGCGACATGAACCCGACATCGACATCCGGATGCAAGACTTTGAGAAGCTGGATGGTCCTCAGCTGGCCACCATCCTGCTAGATGATCGCTGTCGATTGTTGGGGCGCGGTTCGATCACGCCTATTTCCTACGCATTTGCTCTATCTTGTTCTTCGACGCATCTTTGGGGATTTACGACTTTACGCATGGCTCGGGTGGCTTTTTATGGTGCGAGTGTTTCACATTGGACTGACCTCTATGATCAGTCCTCTGGGAACCTCGACGCCGTGAAGGGCAACCTGAACGGCATGTCCGGTACTCCTCTCGTCTAGGTGTACCAGACCTGTGGGTTCGTGGTTGGTCTTGTTTTCAGGACAACCTCGCTCCTCGGAATGCCGGATACCAGGCCGACTGCACAAGAGTCGCCCAGGGAGCCGAATGTGGGCCAACAGTCTTTGCTCCAGCCCATCATTCCGTCGTTGCGATACAGCTGCGACCTCGCTCAGCAGGCATCTCCTACGTCTTTTTTCCTTCGATTCTTAATTATTGTACGGGCGCATCTTTATTCCTTTTCAGTTGGCTCTCGAGCGCCGGAGGCAGCTTCTGGGGAGGTAATGGGGAGATGAACGCAAGGGGACGAGTTTTTGGTGGTGGCTGTTCTCGAGAGTGGACCATGGTAGCAAAGCCGGTCAAAGTCGTATCACGGCTCTGGAGCGAGCAGCTAAGAATGGCCCGAGGAGGTGTTGGCAAAGAGGCAGAGGGAGACATCACAACAACCGGTCAAAGAGTCAAGGTCAGCCCCGGTCTCTAGCTGTCTCGGCCACACGGATGGAATTGGGGGAGTGTTCGGTCATACGGTCAAGCTTGAGTCTGGCTGCGGAAGGCTTGGAGGCTGGTGCGACTCCTCCTCGTCAAACTCGTGGAATAGGACGGACCAAGGGCAGAATCGTGGTGACACGGCCTGGCTGGCGATGGGATGGACGAAGACGCTGGGGTACACGGCTGGCATGTCAGCCATCCGATCGCTGGGTGATGCACTGAACCATTCCATCTGCACCCATTCATTCATTCGTTTCTTGATTGCACATTAGGTAGTCTACAATTCAGTCTGTTTTTCATTGGCAAACCAAGTCTGCTTGCATGTGATTACTGTGCGTCCTGATGGATCCTTTCTGGTGTAACAGGGTAGGTGCTGCTGAGGCTATAAGGCGGACTGGGGCCTTGTCGCTTTAGCGTTGGTAGATGCATATCGTGTATGCGTCTAGGCTGAGGCAGACGTCGAGGCTCTCTGGTACAGAATCAGGCTGAAGACGCGGAGAGGAGAAATGAAATGCCATGGCGGTAAGCGAACTCGAGAAATGGAATCATGCGAGACATTGGAATTTGGGTCGCGGGGTTTTGGCGGCACAGCCTCTGGTGGGCGCGTGAGCATCGATGATGGCATGAGGGCATTGGTCACACGTGGTGGAGCGGAGCACCTCACGAGCCTCTCCTTTAGGCCCAGCCAGCGGGGGATGGAGGGGTTTATGGAGTTTTAGCAGAGGTCGAGATGACAGGACCACATCGAGCCTTGTCTAGCGCCGGCGCTGAATGATGAGTAGAGGAGAGTCGCAAGGTGGTCGTCGGCGGTGGCTTAGCTTATTCACGCAACTGTATGTCTAGGTTGAGGCTGTACTGAGCTCCTCCCTGACGATTACCCATATATAAGTGGGAGGGAGAGAAAGAGCCAGCAAGCTGAAGGCCCAACCAAGTGAGGAGTCGCTACCTGACCTCGCCACCTGCTCGCTGTTCGCCCTTCGCATCTCTCCTCACATCCTCGTCGTTGTCAATTGTGGCGTGTTGCGCACCCGGTAGAGGTACTGTAGTTGGTTAAGACGGACGTCAGCACTTCCCACGGCTTGTGCAGCTGCCGCGCGCTCGGGAGGAAGCTAGGTTGGAAGCCGAGGTCGGAAGGAAAGTGCGAGGAGGAAAAGAAGACAACTCACTTGAGGAAAGAAGGTACCTGCAGGAAAAGATAAAAGCCACTGCTTGGGAAGGTACAGGAGGTAACATTAACGGCAACTACGATCTATCCCATCGAGAAGGAAGGCACGGGATCACACCCTCTCTCATCTCAACTTTATCGCTCTCGACTCGAGTCATCCATCTTCTTCTTAGACCACACACCAACAAGTCCAACACAGACACGGGACACAGACACACCCACAAAACAAAGCCCGGACGAACTCGACGGTGATCGACAAACCAAATACCAACCCCACATTTCCCTTGCATTCGTTGCAGCCCGTTCCAGATCCCCGATCCCACTCTTGGTGCGCTTCTGCACCAGCCTCGTGCGCCCTTCTTTCTCTAGGCTTGGCGGACCCTTGCTCTTCTCTCTCTCTTGTCTGCGGCCTAGGACCGACCAGGACCCAAAACTTTCAACCTCTTTTGCAACCTGCCTGCTTTGCTCTCCCACCTCCAGTCATTGTTGTCCGGTTGTCATGGGCGCATCGACTTCGGATTCTACATCATCTTTACCTGTTGTACCCGCCGTCTCCTCCAACTCCTCCCCCACGATGACGCCTCCTTCTTCGCTCGACCTGCTTTACCTGACTTTCAACTGCGCAAAGAACCTCCTCGATGTCCCCGTCTTTGCAGCCCACGTGCAGACCGCTCTAAGCCAAAATGCTACGACCCTGCCCGACATAGTTGTCCTGTAAGCCGTCGACCCCTCGTCCCTCAACCCGCCAACCATGATTCTGTCCCAGCGGGCAGACATCAAGTCGCGAGACGGTTGGCTCCTGACCTATTGTGCAGGGGTATTTGCCCACTGGAGAACGCAGTGCTGATTCTTGTGCTGCTTGTAGTTCTCTCCAGGAGCTGGCACCTCTGGCTTATTGCTTTATCGGCGGCTATTTCCTGAACCCATACCTGGTGCGATACGAAGAGGCTGTCAATACGGCTGCGAGACGACATCTTCATGACGGCAGCCCGAGTTCTAATGGCACGGTTACGCCCACCAAGCCTTACACCCTCCTCCGAGCGAACAACGTCGGCTACACCGCCATCCTCCTATTTGCTCGCGATCCCTCACGGCTTAAGAACATCCAAGAGGCGGAGGTCGGGTTTGGAGCCGCCGAGATGGGAAATAAGGGCGCTGTTGGCTTGCGCATGCTATACGAAGCCGACGGTGGCTCATCTACAGAGCTGACGTTTGTCGCCACGCATCTCGCGGCCATGGAGTGGAACCTGCCCCGGCGCAATGCCAATTGGGCTGCCATCATGAGGGGTATGGCCTTTGAGAACCCCGAGGAGGTTGTCAAGAGCTTCAAAACTTCGGTTACCCCATCTCCAGCTTCAACTCCGCCTGCTGAGGAGCCACCTGAGCGTGTACGCCTCCTCGACGAGCAGCACCACGAGCAGCACTCGCGGCTCCAGCAGCAGCTGCACAACATCTCGGTATTCAAGCCTTCATCCCATCTTTTTGTCGCAGGCGACCTCAACTATCGCATCTCTACCACTTCCCCACCCCCCGATGCCGCATTCCCGAGCCTCAACCCGGATTCGGAGAACTACTACCCAGACTTCTTCCGTCTCGATCAGCTCACACGCGAGCGTATCGCTGGTCGTACGCTACATGGCCTGTCGGAGCACGAAGTGCGCTTCCCACCCACGTACAAGTACGACGTGCTACCACCAAAGCCTGGAACTCAGGAACCGGAGCTTGATGTGCCTTGGCGTTTCGCAGTGCACCGCTACCCCAGCTGGACTGACCGAATCCTGTTCCTCGAAGTGCCTTCTTGGCTCCAGGGCAAGACTAGCGAGGTGCCCAAGCTCAATGTCCGTGCCTACGACTGTCTTCCGGTCTTACGCATGAGCGATCACCGCCCCGTCTTCTTACGGGTTGACGTGCCCCTCATCTCACCAAGCGATCTCGCCCCGCCATCGGGTCTAGACCCTGACACGAGCAGAGACCCTCGTGCCCGGCTCCCCATCGAGATAGACCCGGAGGCCTGGGAGCGCCGTGCAGCTGCACGTCGCAAGGAGGTGATGGCGGGCTGGAGCATGTTCCTCTGGAGCACCAAGCAGGGCGCCTATATCCTGGCTGCCGTCCTTGTCTTCGGTGCCAGTGCGTACTGGCTGTACCACTCACTCTAGAGCAACTCAGGCCTTTGCCTCCATTTTCAGTCAAGCAGAACCTTTGAAAGGGCGTTTGGTTGCTTTGAGATTCCGAATCATGTGTTTATGCCCAAAGATGGTGATGGGCAAGTCAATCTGCCATTGCTATACACGTCTCACATATATATATATGAGCTCCATTCCCCGATGGAATTGGTGGACGAGCATTTCCCTCTCTTTCTTTCCTTTCAATGACGACATGTTTAGATAGACCCATGGGAGCAGGCGAACCGGTCATGCATCATACAGATACCTACATACATTAGTTTCTTTCATTGCGTGGAACAGGAACAGGAACAGGGGGACTTGGGGGCGGCGAGTCAGTGCATGGGATGGGATGGGACGAGGAGATGAATCATGTTTAACAAGACCATTATTAGATGCTGTTCAGTTTAATAAGCTCATGGCATATCATGTGATGAAATGTGTTGTTCATTCCGGGGCGGCATGGCCACCCCATTCACTCTCATTCATAACTTGACTCATCCCGTTGGGAGAGAAGATAAGAGTACAAGAAGACCAGAAACCCCCAAAAGTGTGAGTGAGTAAAACAAGGCAAAAAGCGCCGTCGGGGATATGATGGGCTATCAGTTCCCGATTCTTGATTAAACGCCATTCTCCAGTCACCTCATGATGAAAAGCGCAAGAGGAAGAGTAAAAAAAAAAAGGATGATTGAGAGCCAGGCTCAATTCGCTATGGACATATCGTTCCCTCTTGATAAGTTCGTATCCGGACGCTACTGAGGGTGTTATTCATTTAAATGCTTAATGGGCGCTCTTTGGGCGCTATTCTCGCTGCTGGCGAGAGTGGTCTGTTCAGTTTGGTGGTGTTGATAATTGATGGATGGGTGGATCGGATGGTGTGTTTGTATAGTATGATGTAGTGAGCCGTTTTCGGTCGGCTCACTTTGCTCCTCTGGCATGACGCAACAGGTACCGCGGCGATTAAAAGTCGGCAAAGTATGGGTCGTACTTTGCCGCCATGTCGCCGCCGTAGGGCTCCCGCGAGCCGTCGTCCTCTGGGTACACGTCAAAGCACTGGGCGTCACCGGGATAGCGCACGGGGGGTTGTATCGGACCCTTGTGGCGGCGGTTAAGCATGTCGTCCCAGTTCGTCTCGCGGAAGAAGGGGTGCGCCTTTACGCGGGCTGCGCCGCCGCTGATGTTACCGAGACGACGGGAACGATCGACGGTGCAGAAGGCGCGTATTATGTCTTTGGCGTCTTCCGAGAGTGGCGGGTCTTGAGGGAAGACGACGGGTTTTTCCAAGATTCTGCAAAGGCTGTCAGTCATAGTTTGCGCAGAGTTGGTACGTAGAGTCGACTCACTGCTTGTAAATCTCAATGGGGTTCTGATGCCAAAATGGAGGGTATCCCGTTAAGAACTCGTATATTAGAATACCCAGAGCCCACCAGTCAACTGCGCCTGTGTGACCTTTGTTCTGAATGACCTCGGGGGCCAGGTATTCGGGGGTTCCGCAGAGGGTGTAGGTCTCGACGGGCCGATTGTCTTCGCGGTGACCGAGGCGCTTGGCAAAGCCGAAATCGACGAGTTTGATGTGGCCATCCTGATCCAGGAGGAGGTTCTCCGGTTTGAGGTCGCGGTAGGCGATACCGCCTTGCTGCTCATGGAGATACTCTAGTACGAGGACTATCTCGGCGGCGTAGAAGCGGGCGACGGGTTCGTCGAAGCGGCGCAACTTGCGCAAGTATGTAAATAGCTCGCCGCCGGGAACGTAGTCGAGGAGCATGTAGAGGGAATCGTGGTCTGAGAAGGAGGCGATCAACTGGGTGATGAAGGGATGACCCGCGACGTCGGCGAGGATGGCGCGCTCATGACGGACATGATCGACCTGCTTAAGGCGGATGACTTCAGGTTTCCGTAGGATCTTGAGGGCGTAGACTTCGGGGTTGAGCTGGTGATCGAGGGGTATATGGGCGCTGGCTGCTGGACGGACAAGACAGACTCGGGCAAAGGTTCCTTGATGTCAAGTTAGAGAGATATGCTCGAATTGATAGATACAAGGCAATGCGAACCTGTGCCTAACGTGCGCACTCGTCGAAAGTCGCGAAGTTGGAACTTGCGGGTTGGCGGTAGTGGAGAGACGCCGCCGGCGACATCTTGGGACCCCGCGCTGGCGTCTGCGGCGTCGTGGGGATGCGGCGGCGCAGGGATGCCCGAGGAGGACGGCAGGCCGCCGGCATGCGAAGGCGCAACGGTAGCAGCCATGATATGCGACTCGACTCGAATGGGGAGAAGGCGGGGAGGGGAGACGAGAGATGGGAGGAGCGGTTTAGAAGATGGTGTCGATGTTTCAGGCAAAGGCCATAGTCTCGTCTATTCGGGGGAATCGGGTCTCGCTTGACCGAGGGGAAAGATTCGGGTTTGGCGATGAGGGGGAGCAAAGAGAGGATTTCGACCGTGGGGGTTCTTGTTGTTGTCGCCGCCGCCGCCGTGTTGTTGTTACTTGCTGGTGGTGTCGGGTGTGTGTGTGTGTGTGTGCGCTGTCACGCGGCCAATTGGGCCCGTTCTAGAGCAGGCCTCAACGAGTATCGGTTGGAGATATGGGGCTAAATGGGGTCGACAGGGGAAGCGACGGGCGAGAGGAGTAGAGCGAGGTTGAAAATGAAATAGGAGGCGAAAGAGATCAGGTCAATGTTAATGTTTGAAGGAGGCGGCGGAGGGGGGAAAAGAGTGGAAAAAAGGGACGGCGAAATACGGGAAGCAAGATGATTGATGATGACCAGGAGGTGGGATAGGATGGGATGGGATAGGATAGGATGGGATGGGATAGGATAGGAACGGCTAGTTAGGCTAGACCTGACTAGAAACACCAAGCCAACTTGAGAGAAGCAGGTGCCTTACGTAGCCCGGCCTGCCAACGAGAAAGTATTCCTGAATAGGAAAAGACGGGCTTGAAACGGTGAGAGAGGAAGGACGGGCGGTCGGCAGGCGGCCGACAATAGAACAACACCAACAGGAGGGCATGGACAAGTGGATTTGAATCTTGGGACAAGGACATGGCAAAGGACGAGGACAAGAGAGCCAGAGGAGGGGTTATGACGCAAGTTGTGGTCTATGCGAGAGCGAGACCAGGGTATCGTTGACTTTGACCACTACATACAGTACACACATGGATCTCAATACTACAATGCCATCGGCATGGCATGGGGTCCTTGCCCATACACCACCACCACTTCCCGTACCTTATCTCTACCAACCCGACCCATGATATTGGGATACAAGTTCCATTTGCGTCATGTGACGATGAATACAGACCTGTACATAGGTACATCTCGTCTGACAGCTCGAGATCCCAGATCCCGGTTTCTCGAAAAAACCCCACGTAATTCTCGCATCCATCGAAAAGACGGCAAACGATCGATCGCGGCATTTCCGGCCGAGAAGGAAAGCCTACCTTGTGCTGTGCTACTGTACATGTGTACAGGGCACGTGAGAAGTATGTAACCAAGGGCGGAAAATGACCGAGCCGGCCGTGTAAGTGAGCTCGGATGAAATGAAATGACTCGAGGTGAGTGGCTCGCTTCTAGAAGTGACGATTCGTGCTGGTGCCGTTTGCGAAAAACAGCTTGGATTTAGAGTTTTGCTTTGGGACTAATTTTGGACGACATTGGTGATGGCCTCATTGTGGCTCTGTACACTCAATGATGGTGAGCAAGCTCGGGGCGACAGGATCATGTCCTTTACGCTTCTTCGTACCTCTTCTGACGGCCGCTGGGCCCGACCAATATCCCCATCACTTTGAATGAAGGACAAAATACAATACGTAAGCCTACCCTAGGTACCCCAAGAAAGGATCATCTAGTAGTTTCCATGGATTCCCAACCACGGGCGTACAGTTCATTTGTGATCCAGTTGATTCTCCCCAAAAAAGCCTGAGGCATAGAAACTTGGACATTATAGTTTGCCAACTGTATATCCAAATCACATGCTGCAATTGAGTTTTAGAAGATTCCCCGATATGCGAGTGAGCATCAAGGTTCCACGGTCACGGTCTCTGTTATCAAGGGGCTGAGCGAAGCCAATCCGTGAACACGACAACCCAGCAACTCTACAGTATTGAGGGGACAGGGGCGAGCTGTTGACAGTTATTGACAGGTATCTGCCAATAGCAGGAGCCAATGCCCGAACAAGAGGCGTCTACTGACCAAAGATGTGTCTTCTCAGGGGAATGGTAGTCAATTCCTCTCAAACAGGGCTGTTCCCATGATTGATCAATCGCCGAAAAGCATCTTTTCCTGCCATCATGAAAGGGAGCGAGTAAGCAGTAGGATCTGAAGCAGAACTCTACAGTCCCCAACGAAGGGTTAATCAAGTCCTCTCCGATGTCGAGATCCTCGACTGAATGCAACAGATAGATTCATGCCACACCATCTAGGTCCATATACTTTCTGCCCGGAAACTCTAAAACTATATCTCATCCCCTCAAACCCATTTGCACAACTTGCCTTGGTAACCTTGCCCAACAAGCATCTTGACAGCCACGGGGAATAGCATGTTTTAGTTCGTGACGGGACTTTCTCAGCCAGCCAGATGTAACGAGTGCCCCGTCGGCAAATGAGGAGATTTTCTTGAGTCTGATCCGTCACGCTGGGACTGCTGTCACTCTGCCTTGAGGACAGGACAGTTGGCCGTCATCTCTGACAACCTCCGAACAGCCCTCAGGCAGGGGAATGAAAGGCCAATGACCCCAGACATATACAGTTTTCGGTTGATCCATCGTATTCACTTTGCTTTTCCTGTAGCAAAATCTGATGATAGAATTCTCAATCACGCATGTTGCTTTCTCTCAGTTTCCAGGCAGTCATAGATTAGGAGGCAGCCTACACAACAATGAGAAGCTTTCTAAGGCAGTCCTGTTCATTCAAGTCGTTTGTCTTTCCTCTATTCCATCCGCGGGGTTTGGATGTTGAGTGTATCCTTGAGTGTGACAATTGACTGGGTCAGAGCCACTGTCAACTCAGCCGATAGGGTAACACTGTATCCAAGTCAATGCTTTGAACGAATTGATCAAATTAACCCAGAGCACTCCAGGATGGCATTCTTGTCCAAAATCCCAGTGATTGAGAGCTGTGGTCTGTCCCAAGGGCCGTTCTAGAAGAGTGGTCAGGGAAACGTCCCTAGAGAACCGCGCAAATGCTCATATGTTTCCCCTGATGTCTACGTGAAGGCCCAAAAGTAAGTATTTAGGAGTAAGGATAGTAGAATGAATCATTCGTCTAAGTTTCATCATCTCGAATCCCAACAAAGCTACTCCTCCTCACGATCATGAGGAGGCGGCCTCCTTACCTCCCAAGTTCCCCTTTACAAGAAGAATCTGTTGAGATCAGCCAGGCTTCCTCTCGCCCATAAATACTCCCCCATCTCCTCAGATTTAATTCTGCACATCACTCAGCCTGATTTTCGTCCAAAAAATGCCCCGGCACCTAAAATGCGCAGATTTATTTGTGCAGAATTAATTTGTTGAGATCAGCCAGATATCTTTTTCGTCCATAAATACCCTCCCTCCCCAAACTCTCGCACCAGAGATCAGCCTTTCGTTTACTTATACCCCTCCGATTTCCCTCTCTTCTGGTTTTTGCTCTCTTTTCTCTTCCCTCTTTCATCATCACATACACGCACGCTTTCACCAGCCAGACAACACCCTTGCTATTAGCAGACAGTCAGTTGCTTGCTTACACCCTTCTTTCTACTCATATTTTGAGATTCAACAACCTCTTCATCAGCATAGTGATAGTCTTGCTTTACGCGGACTCACAGTTGCTTGGTTTCTCTCTTTTCTTCACTCTTCTTTACTCAACAACTTCTTCTTTGGCCAGGTGGCAGTCTTGCTTTACGCAGACAGTTACTTGTGCGTTCAGCTCTCTTTACACACTTCTGCATTCAGCAAATTCTTCAGCAATCTCTCAAAATGGGCAAGTTCCGTGGATTCTTCCGTGGGCTCTTCTGTTGCTGCCTCTTTGTCAACAACGTCAACAAGGCGAAGAAGCAAGCCAAGGCTTCTCGCCCAGTTCAGACATGGCATGCAACCAGAGTCAACCCTACAGCAAGTGTACCCAGCAATGTCCGCAGGAGATCCTCTCTTCGGAGAGCATCATGTTCATCTATCCGGAGTGTGTCTTCTCTTGCGAGGAGATCATCAACCAGCTCTCGTCATGGAGACTGTTCTTCTGGTCGCTCTTCTACTCGCCAATCTCCTGGACAACACTCCTCTGGACAACATTCTTCTGAACATCAATCTTCTACTGGACATCACTCTTCTTCTTCTGGACATCACTCTTCTTCTACTGGACATCACTCTTCTTCTTCTGGACACCACTCTTCTGCTGGACGCCACTCTTCTGGAAATCAGTCTTCTGGTCAGCACTCTTCTACTCGCCAACCTTCTGGACATCAGCCCTCTGGCAATTACTCTTCTGGTCGTCAGTCCTCTGGTCAGCAATATACTGCTCGGCAATCTGCTACTCAGCACACTACTATTCAGCACACTACTATTCAGCACTCTACTGGTCAGCACTCTTCTACACACCAATCTTCTGGACATCAGTCCTCTGGCTATCACTCTTATGGTCGTCAATCTTCAAGACGTCAGTCTTCTGGACATTACTCTTCGGAAAACCAGTCTTTTGGTCAACAATATTCTACTCGCCAATCTTCTGGTCAGCACTCTTTTGGTCATCAGTCTTCTCATGTCAAGCCTCTGGCGCCTTTTCAAACTGGCTCAGAGCGCAGAAGACCTGTCTATCAGCCAACTCGACCTGGACTGCAACCCAAGAAGCCAGCGATCAAGCTAGCCCAGCAGCCACTGAAGCTAGCTTCACAGACATTGGGGCAGCAGACCGGTGACCAAAGACATGTCAGATTTGCCAGTGTTCAGTCCAACACCAAGGATTGCAATACTGCACTATACAATGACAAACGTCCAACCCCTACAAAGGCACCTGAGTATGATCAATTCAGGCGGTGGGATAAGGTTGCACTTCCACCCTACCGCACTGAAACTCGGTTCCATGAGCGAAAGCTTTCTGGGGAGAGCCCTTGGGCTCAGGGTGAGGCTACTCATATGAAAACCATTGGGGAGAGACGGACGGACAGCCGCAGCATGTCCAGTGATGTCTTCTACCCCAGTCGCGATTGGTAGACTCAGATGGGTGTATACTTTACTCGACTCAAAGACAAGCTAGTCTTGTCATATACAAAAAGGGGATGTGGTGATGTAAGAGGCCGGGGATGATGCCTCGAGGGGATGGGGCAGGTTGTGATGGCACTTGGGTTAATAGCGAGGGAGCATTTCTGATTGAATTGGGCATTGTTGGGTGTTGTGCTCTTTTGCACGTCTGTTGGTCTTCATGTGGTTAATAATTGGCCT